ATTCTTATCTTGGACTACAGGATGATTAGACTTTATGTTGTGGAGATTTGGGAGTATGAGTGCTTGAGTAGTTTAGCAAAATAACACTGGGCAGGACTGACAACACTGAATTCACAAAAAGCTATGTGTTTTCTGCCCACAACAAGACTGAGTGCATTTCTGGCAGATCAAAAAGTATAATTTTGCCTTGACTTTAACGTCTATTTTATCTAAAGCTGACATAGAGTAAGAAGCTAAATACGCATTTGAAATATATATAGTATGGGGGAATTGATGAATGCGTTTGCGAAAAAGTGTTTAGTCGCAAAGACCAAAATGTCATGCTAACTAACCACAGAGTTTTATCTCTGTTATGCATCTTTTTTTAAGTGTTCTACCTGCCAAAGGATTTCTAGTCGTGTGCAGCCAATGTTTTGAACTAGACACCTTTGCCACAGAACTTAGTCAGGTTCTCAGACTTCACTGCAGTGGGAGCACTAAATGGTCAAGAAAAACACATGCACAGCTTGCAGGTTGGATAGTGAAGGAACTTCATCGTAGTAATAAGTCATCCCTCTGCTCATTCTCTTCTTCTAATAGCAAGTTACTGAAAGCACATGTGCACCACAACAGTGTCTGAGCAGTGCTTCACGTCTGAGTGCTGATGTCCAAACATTTGCAAGAAGCTGATATCTAGTCCAATCCAGGTTTGGCCAGGTGCATAGAAAATATTTAAATGTGTGTGTGTGTGTGTGTGTACATACACACACACACACACATGCATGCATACATACATACATACATACATACATACATACACACACACACACACACACACACAATGTAGATGGATAACTGCATGGAGTTAAGCTTTATCAGTTTTGTGAATATAAGAACTCATATTGCCACAGATGTTGATGTTGTCATTATTGGCTTGTATAGAACATCCAATAAGGCAAGACTACAAACTAAATAGTGTAATCATGCTTTGATATTCTGAGAATCACTTTAACATGACACCCCTGTTGTATTCTTGAGATCAGCTCACCAAATATGTAGTAAGGTTTTACCTTTCCTCTACTGCTCAATTGTGGATAGTATATTATCCACAGGGTTTTTGTTGCACTCTTAGTGATAACTGCATCCCACTGCGTTGAGAGTCTATGCAAAACCACATGAGAGAGATTAAATAGAAAACATTTGACTATAACAAAGTGCGGCTGCTAAAAATTGATTAGGGCTTCGAGGTGGCATCAATGGGCGATATTAAATATTGAGTGACACATGTTAAGACAAATGCTGGCCTATATATAATTTATTTGGCCTGGTAAATGGATTTGTCTTGCAGTATGCAGGCCCCCCACAGTCACTGCGTGTATTTGAGTGGATGCTGAAGTAAATAAATAATAAAACCACTTTACCGTGCAATCTAACACTATTAAATATTAAGAATTTTAGACAATTGATTCTTAATTCTTAATCAACTTCCTATCTACCACATGTTCTATTTTTCAAAATGAAGAATTTCTTTTTTAGGGCTGTTGTTGATGCCCATATTAAGCAACTGTTTTTAGTGCTTTGTGTTTTGTTCTTTGTGTGTATTTACTGGCTGAAACCTGATCTTTCTGAAGGGAAATATATAGTAACAATTTAAGTTGTATTACTATATATTTCCTCTCGGGTTTGGTATCACTTGAGCTCCATCCATTGATCACCAAAACCTAAGTATATAACTGATCTTTCTGAATTGAAAAGGTGGACCAGTTATGTTGTTGACTATGCAAATATTGGGCTATATATTAGTACAGTGTCTAACTAATTTATCTATTTAATTTATTTAACCTAATGTATTTAACTAATCTTTCTCTGTGTCTTCAATTGTAATTGTGCTTTAAAATCTATCTATACCCAAAACAAAAATGTAATATATTGCAGCTTACCAGGCCTTAGATGTGCTGGCTGCATTCATTTTTTTTTCCGGGCTAGGGTTAATAACACTTTTGCCCGGACTTCTGTTTTAAAGTAAACCTTTCCTAAGAGAAATATGGGGCTACTCTTGATGACCTGCTTCTGAAAATGATAGTTACCTGGCTGTCATGAGTTATAGGCTGCAATGCCTGGGAAAAAAATATGCAGTTTAGGCAAGTGGTAATAAAGTCAGAGGTCCTTTTGGCATCCTTGCCCATTGCAGTGATAAAAATTCAGCAATGGCAGCCCTCATGTTTCTATCAAGAAAAGTTTCCTTTCAAAAAGCTATATAGTCTTAATATTTAGGCTTTAATTGAGTATCTGTTGTCAATTGTGATAACACAGAAGTAGCACAATTTGTAGATATAGTGTTTTGAAAGATAATGGTTAACCCCTTTAGAGTTCAGGTGAGCATATAACCGAAAGGTTTAATGACCGTATTATACATGGCTGGATTATTTTATGCTTATTGCATACAGGCAGATTTTTATGTAAGCAGCCTCACAGAAAATTAATAATTTACTTTCATCATTACAGGAAAGAGGGCAGTGAGTCTAATAGTCCAGAAACAAGAAGTCAAGCATGCTGAGATCAACTCACATGGCTTACTTGTCTGAGATCCAGTTCCTTTGCTTACTCCCTGATTAAACCGAAATATCATATAAATAGACATTTGGTTCTAGTAGAATTTGGAGCACTTTAGCAACATTTGTTTTTATTCCTCTATTTTATTTATTAAAGCTATTTTTTTTGGTACCAGCATATATTTAGATCCATTCCCTACACTTCTGTCTGCTCAGATACCACAGCTGAACATTTCAGTTAAATTTCAGTTAAACGTTATAGAATGCAGACATTTTTATTTGTATCATGACAGCCTTGGAATTCTTCAGCACCCCCCAATTTTGGTCACATGACCAATGCATACACATTGGTCACGTGGTCCCTTCTGAAGGAGAAATTCAGAATGTGGGGGTAGTCCCTCCTTGGCTCTGCCTAAATGTAGCTGTTTAGTACAAACCTCTTTACCACCACCGGAGTGCAGAGTTTCTGGGATTTAAAGAGCCAGCAAAATACTTCAAAGTGCTCCAAATGGATGCCTTTAAGTCTAGCATAAATAATTCTAATTTTACTTTTTTTTAACATACTGTTCTCACCTTTTTAAAAAAAAAATATTTTTGCATCTCAGCGCTACTGATATCCTCAAGCCTCTTTCAGCTACTTTCTGTCTACATGCACTCACTCCAGTGTCAGTTGTACATCATTGCTCCAGACCAGCCTCCCTTATAGTGACAACAGTGGACCATGGCTGGGCAATGTGTGTTGGCACTGCCGCTTCATAGTCTCCAACAGTGATGCCTGTAACAGGGTGACTGCATGATTAGGAGACAGTTGTTATTCCAAAACAAGAAATATCTGAACAAGGACTGCCACGGCATGATCCCCTGGTATTATTTTAATAAAAGCTGCAAAAAATATTCAAAACAAATTTTAAAATGACTTTGACATGTATAACCAACTTACAGTCCAGAGGGTCTCAATTATATTTCTGAATATGTTGTTATATTTAATGAGTACCTCACTAGATCTACTGTAAATCCGCAAATGTTTTTTCCTTTGTATGGAATGGGTAAAGGTTAGAAGCCGGGACTCTGTTAAAGCAATTTCTCCTCACTTCCTGTTCTTGGAACAACCCTTTTCCAAACAGAAAGTCAGGGAAAATCTGCAACAGGGAAACAGACAAAAATAAAAAGCTGAAAGGTTAAAGCACCTCCCCTACTTAAAGTAGAATGAAACTGTCACACGTCGGCTCAATAGATCGGGAAGTGAGCGAACATATGCCGTCGCTCGCTCACTTCTTGATCATGTCACTCACGGCTCCCTGCAGGGATTCCTCCCTCCCTGCTCCAATCCTCCAGTGCTGACTGGCGGAACGGACAGGAGAGGGGGCGGGTACAGCTGACTCTGCCTCTAGATAGGCAGAGCCAGCTGTCAATCACGCAGCTTGGTGGATCTCGACAGTAATGTCAGGATCTGTCTCGGCTGCAGCGGTCTCAGTATACCGCGAGCTGTAGCTCACGATATACTGAGCTTTGGGTCACGGGAGGACGCTAGTTTATGTTCTCCTATGACCCTTAGGAGAACTATGGGGAAAAGCACTGACCCCATAGTTCTCCTTTAACGCTAAAAAAAATCTGGCTATACAAACACTTTAAAGAATGCAAAACAAAAAAAATGTTAGGGAATGATTTAAGCCCCTGTCAGTTTTTTTTTTTTTTTTGCTGTCTGTGTCCTGTTGGTAAGTGTTCTCTTTACTTCTTGTACCGCAGACATAACAAGACGTGAGAAAAAAATATCTAAGGGAAAATCTCTTCTTAGACAGTTGTTGCTGGAAAATGTGTTGCCATCAGGAGATTTCCCCTCACACCCTGTTTCAGAGAAAACGCCCGTAGAATGTTAGCTCATCCATTACTTTCTATCCCGATGACAGTGGTCATTAGGACAAATGTTAAAGGACCATTGCTCAAGCTGGGACACAGATGCCAACAAAAACCTGCCAGCAGTTCCAACATTGCAACTCCCCATCCAAGACCGAAACAAAATGCCATAGCTATACTTGAAAGTATTCTAAGATCCACCAAACCTGATGTACTCTAATATAATAATGTGATTGTGTGATCTGTCATGACCTGGCCAACCTCCTTCTGCCCCTTATGCTTTTTTATTGGCCATAGAAACTGTTCATTAAATTTTGTGGCCAATAGGAAAACTTTTGGGGGTGGGGGGGCTATTTTTGTGTTAGAGCACACAAGGTTTTGGACATCATTTGATGCCCTGGAATGAATCTAGCTGCTCGTTTTAATGACTCGATACCACCTTACCAGGTAAGTTCACGCAATAATAGTGATAACAAGCAAGTGATAACACTTTATGTATTTTCTAGATTGGTTACGGTTGTTTCTGTTTATTATAAAAGCCTAAAAAAAGGTGATTCTATACTGACTCAGATCAATCATGGACATTACCATCATTTGTTTCTGTTCCAGGAAGATATTTTTTTGTTGTGTAAGACAAGATGCAAGATCCCACACCCAGAACACACCACCCTTTACAGTCTGAAGAAGTTGGATTTGATCCTCTACAGTGCGATATAGGCAGACATGATGAAGGTAAGAACTTGCAAACCCCATTTGAATGCATTTAAAGTAGAACTATACACCTGTCCTTCAGCAGTGCCATGTCTGTGAATTCCCTCACTGGCGCTGACATCTTCACCCAGTCTTCTTCTGGGTTCGGGATCTTTGGTCTTCTTGATTGACCATGCTGGGATGACGTGATGCCTGCTCATGCACAGGAGTTCATTCTTCCTGTTAGATCCTGAAAGTGTGCATTGAGCTGTGCAGAAGATGACAGACAGGCATGTAATGGCTCTGGAAGTGAGTATGTGCAATCTCAGACCATGAAGTTTACCGGTTACAGCACTGCCGTCTCTCTGAACCCACCACAGCTTCACCCACAAACACTGAATCATGAGAAGCAGGTTTAATCACACAAAATCATGTAACAAGTTCAGGCACTTAAAACATGTATCTGGCTGCAAGGTATTATTTGAAACTCAAGGCAAATTGTGTGGGCTTACTATATCTGGCACATTTAGAGTAAACCCTAGATAAGTTTGTCAGTGCATGCTTTTGTTTTAGTCACCCGGAGTTGTAGTATATTTAAATGCATGACATTTCCTAGGAGTTTGTAATAGATGCCTACATGTGTCTGCACCTATGTTTAGTTAGCTCCTTGAGAACCCCGGGAGTCCCAAATCAGGGGTTCTGTATTATGCAAATACCAAATGTATTCTGGAAGTTGGGGGCTTACCTTGCTCCCTCCAGCCAGTCATGTATAATTATTAGTAGGGATGCACCAATACCGATACTAGTATCGGAGCCGATACAGAGTATTTGGACGAGTACTCGTACTCAACCACATGCTCTCGATACTTATCCTGATACCGTAACTTCCGGTATCAGAAAGGCCGGGCAGCAACTCATTACATGCCGCCCAGCTTACTGATTGGCTGGGAAGCCGCCTCCGTGCTCCCTTGTCGCGGGAACTTCCTGTATCAGGAAGCCGGGCAGGGAGTCATTACACGTTGTCTGGCTTCCTGATTGGCCGAGAAGCCGGCTCCATGCCAATCAGGAAGCCGGGCAGTGTGTAATAACTAGCCGCCCGGCTCTCTGATTGGCCAGAGAGCTGTCTCCATGCTTCCTCGTCACCTGGTGATGAGGGAGCATGGAGACAGCTTTCCGGCTAATCATGAAGCCAGGTGGCGAGTCATTACACGCCGTCTGGCTTCCCAGCTAATCAGGAAGCTGTACGACGAGTCAGTAAACGACGCCCGGCTTCCTTAATGGGACTTCAGGTATCTGCGAGTACCGCAAAAAAATATATCGGCACTCGATACCGAAAAGCCGGTATCAGCGCATCCCTAATTATTATTGAGTGGAACATAACATTATGGTTATGGACCAATCGTTAGGGGCAGCAGAGGACAGGGCCAGGCACCAACAGGCATGGACAACTTTTATTCATTGGTGTGCCTGCTATAGACTCCTGGGAGCAGTTTATTACACTTAAATACACAGGTTTAATTTAAATATGCACAAATGTGTCACATTGTTATCTTCTGAAACAAAAAAGAAGCTAAAAGGTAACATAGAGCTTTGAACAGTGCTAATCCCATGATACCAACATCATACACTATTCATAATGGTATAACCTTAATGTGTCGGTGTGCATTTAAAGGTTCATGTGATAGCTGCCTTCTTAATGCACTGCCACCTTTTTAGAGAAAACACATACTTTTAATTTGCACTAAGTCATGATTGGTTTACTTTTACAGTATCTTGATTTATGTAGTTTTTATGGCTTATGTGGTGCTTTAAAAAAAGTATTTTATTTCATTTCTACTTGATTGACACAAGACATGCTCTTGATTACTAAGACCATAAAATCAAATTAAAATAATTGTAGTTAAAGTTTGCAGTTCTTTCAATTTAGGGTAATAATAAGCTGTAATCCAACTGAGAGCTGCATGGGGAGCGAAAACTGTCTGTGATTATGTGTGTCACTGTGCCTTGTATTCTTCACTCTCTCGCTAGCAGTGACAACATAGTTTGAGGAAGTGATGAGCCTAACAAGCTGCTTGAAACGTGATCCTTGTCGTGAAAACATTCTGCGAGTAGTCTGTTATACACCATGACACCTAAACTAATTTTCCAGTCATTGAACATGTGCATCTGGAAGCAAGGAAGTGAAATTTATTTGTAATCTTAAATCTAAAATAACTGTGCGGTGAATTCCACTGTAGTCTCTTGCTAAACAGGCTATGCGCAGCTTCTGTATGCCTGCACAATAGCAGTGCTCCAATATCTACCATTAGGAAAAGTTAAAATTGTTGGCAGGAATATTTGTGTGACTAGACCAACTGCCATGTCTCTTTTATGTTCAAAGTGTGTGGTCTTGCTTAAGGACACTCAGGTTATGCAGGTTTGAAACATTTAAAGCAGAGTGTACAATAAGATTGTAATATGTTATTTATTGCATTGCACAGTATATCAGAAATACATACATTCTTTGTTTTGCAAATAAACATTTAGAAGATGACAAAGGTTATCAGAGAAATCTGGGTTAGCTAAAGGGACTGCACAGCCAAAGCAGCTCTTTTTTTTTTGCTTGCCTTGTCTGATTGAAAATTCAAACTAAGTCACCCGATAAAGAATGATTTACACCTATGGCTCAATAATGCTGAACTCGAGGATGCAAGAAGTGCTGTCAAATATATTAATATTTGAAAGCTTATAATTATTTGCATTAAATGGGCCTATTTCACACAGATTTACCTAGAAAAATTAGTGATGTCATCTCTCCCATTGATATAATTAAAGGAGAACTATGGGGTTAGGGCTTTTCCCCATAGTTCCTTGAAGGGTAACGGGAGGACAGAAACTAGTGTCCTCCCGTTACCCAAAGCTGCAGCGCGCGGTATACTGAGATGCCACAGCTGAAACGGATCCCGACAGAGCTAGCTGTACCCGCCCCCTCCCCCGTCCGTTCCGCCAGTCAGGGCTGCAGGATCGGACAGGGAAGGGGAGAATCCAGTCACTCCCCTGTCACGGCTCTCTGCAGTGACAGGATTGAGAAGTGAGCGAGTGCCGGTATGTGTTCGCTCACTTCCCGATCTACTGAGCCGACTTGTGACAGTTTCATTGTCACAGGTCGGCTCAGATTATGAGGCTGAGTGAAAAGCACTCACCTCATAATTCTCATTTAAGCTACAGCCAGGCACCTAGAGGAGGTATCATTGAGGCAGATTCGTCACATCTGCTCTCTGTTTTGAACCATGATGAGAAACCACAATTCACAGCATACAGTTGGAACTTCAGTTCTGAATGGGTGAAAGTGGGCAGAGTTGGGTGGGTGGGTATGTTGTAAGGCAAACATTGCCAGTCAGACAGTGAGACTGGGTAACAATAATTTGCATAGCCTGCCAATTCCTGATGTGGGTGGGAGTGACAGACCAGGATACTCCTGGCCTGTTAGTAACATTCTGAGGTCTTGGTAGGCAGGACAGACCAGTAGTCCCCTGGCCTGTTACTCAAATGATCCAATGCAAGTGGGCAGGTCAGACCAGTAGTCTGAAACACCCGATTCCCCCCACTACCGTAAGCTGCAACATACGTGCACTGCATTACTTCTCTGCCTCACTCCATCCTGAATATTTAGAGAACAACTGTGTTCAAAAAAAGGAGAAATCCACTTAAGGTAAGAAAGAACCTTTTATAAACTTAAATAAGAATTCCGCCTAGAGTTCAGCTTCAAGTTCTGTGAGTATATTTTTGCGTGAGCTATTCATGTCAAAAGGACAGATGCACAACAGTACAGCTTCTGTGTATGAGAGCCACAGCTCTCATGGTCCTAGTGCTGGAAGTACAGTATAGCGCGTACTATGCTATCTGGCATCAATAAAAGTGTCAATGATAAAGATACAGTGATGATCCTGGAGAGTTAACTATTTTTTACAGAGGGCAATTTAACAAATTGTTGCCCGGAGTTCTGCTTCATGTCATTGATTCATAACTGGGTCAAATAACGATCTGTGGGTACTTTTTGGACCTAGATTTTGCTTCAGAACTTGCTTCTCTCTCCGTACAAGTCCCCATGCAAGTCAGCAGAATTTGCAAAAGCAGCTTGAAACAGGTTGATGCATCTAGAAGGAGGCTAAAACTAGGTCAAATGTTTGCGCCTGTCATTGAACTGTAAATGATCTCAGAAGCACCTAAAATTGATATCAAACGCAGGTTAAAAGCTCTAGTCAATGACTCTGCATGTTCTCAGAAGCATCTCAGACTTATCTCAAATGCAAGCAAAATGCCCCTGAAAGCTATCCCATCAACACAAGCCCAAAGCCCACTGGTTCAGGCCTTTATCATCACCGTTTTTTGTCAGACTGTGCAGTGGACTGCACAATCTTACAATTCTTGAAGTAGCTTTTTTTCTGCTATCCAGTGGAGCTATTCCTTTTGCATTCAGCATGCATGCAGAGAAAGGTTTGCACCTGTACTGTGTCCTATACAAGAGGAGGGCTCAGATATTGTTTTTAAGAAATATTTCAGCATTTCAAAGTCTTTTAACTAACCTTGTGCTCAACCAGAGGAAGCATTTCTGTAAAGTTAATGTATTGTGTTTTATGCATGGTCAGGACTAAAATAATCAAATACACTCCAACCTGCTTCCCGCCTACACTGTTCATATGAACCATATGACCTTCATGGAATTAGACAAAGAGAGTCTAAAGGCTCTAGCTATAGTTGTGGTCCCTCTTTAAAATTAAATTTTTGTTTTTGATAGCACAAAGATTAAAAAAATGAACAATATAAACTTAAAACAAATGATCTAAAGTCATTGTTGTGTTCTTTAAAGGGGCCTAAATTAAGGGCTTCCATCAGAAATGATAACACCCATGTGGCGCTCCCCTATTTTACTCCTACCAGTACAGAGAATATGATGCATGATGCTGGCTTAACTTAGTCAGCAGAAAATATCAAGTAATCATTCAGAATCTGCCAATATTTGTGTTTAAAACACTACGGTCTTTTACTATCATTTCACATCC